TCGTTATCCTGTTATCATGATTAACTTTGCTTATGTAGTTCCTACAATTTAATTGGTTAATAGATATATAAAAAATCACGTAAAGTCCTCTACTATGCTCCGGACAATTAAAATAGTGTTGGCTGTCACACTAAAGTATCGAACTCGAATAATCATTATTAAAAGAAAAAAAAAAATTTCTCACGTTTCGAAAAATCACGCAGTAGATAGAGTGGCGTAACTATAAAAGGTTGAGATCTTTACTAATTAATCCAAATTGGGTAACTGAATTAGACATTTCCTAAATTTTTCGCATGATGGTATGAGTCAAGCAAAACAAACTAATTATTTGATTAATTCTTTTCATGTTTATGGTGTCATTTTTATGTCTGATCTTTATATGAATTTCATCTCATGTACAGTAAACAAAGATACAAAGATAGATTACTTAAAAAAAAAGCCCGTAAAAAAAAAAAGTCTGTTGAATCCTTGAGATCATTATCTAATTGTTTCAAAAATAGAAATATTACAAGTGTCAATGTTAGCAAAACTCGAGAATTTTATAGTAAACACGCTGTTATTTTTTACAGTTTATTTTCACACACTTATTATTAAACAAGTTCAAACGCGTTGTGATAAGATCAGTGCAGAATTATAAAAGAACACATAAACCGACTCACCTTTTTTTTTTTTTTTCACACTCTTTACACTTTACTTTCGACACTCTTTACACTTTCTTCACTTTTGACACTCTACACTTTTTTCACTTTTGACACTCTCTTCACTTTTTTCACTTTTGACACTCTCTTCACTTTCAACATTCTCTTTACTTTCAACACTCTCTTTACTTTCAACACTCTCTTTACTTTCAACACTCTCTTTACTTTCGACACTCTCTACACTTTCTTTACTTTTGACACTCTCTACACTTGTTTCACTTTCTTTACTTTTGACACTCTCTACACTTGTTTCACTTTCTTCACTTTCGACACTTTCTTCACTTTCGACACTTTCTTCACTTTCGACACTTTCTTCACTTTCGACACTTTC